CCCTAAGGTTTCTATATTTGATCTATCTAATTCCATTCTTAAGATTAAAGAAAGACAGACGGTTGGATGATGGGAGTTTATAGGTCTACAATTTTTTTCAAATTGCAGCCCAATAAGCACTTACTGAATTATAGTTATCTTTAGTAGCAATTCTAGAGACTAAAATATGCTAAATAAAATATGCATATATAGACAATAAAATATGCTAAATAATTAAACTATTTACTTTTTACTATCTTTAGTAAAAAGATATTTAATTAGTAAGTTTAACAATATTTAATTGCTGTATTTTTTGCCTTGTAAGAAGTACTGTTGTATTCAACACAAATATTTCTATGTTAATTTCTTTCTTTCTTTCTTATTTCTTTTTGTGGGAAAATTTATTATTCACAATGTAAGATGTATTTAGTTTACAGAACACATCCTAATTTTCAGACAAATTTTAGCTACAAAAAAGTGCCTGTTTATAAGGTAAAAAAATACAATAGCAAATTTTTGCCAGCAACTTAAATATTATTTAGATATTGTAGAAAATATTTATGAGAATTTTACTATTATTTAAGGACTGTTATACCAAGGGGAATGACACACAAAATACTAGAGGAAGACAATTCTTATTCTGATGTTTATTGTAACACAAATCTATACAACGCTTTCTCTGTGTTATGTGTGCATCCCTCCTCTTTGAAACTTAGGCTAATTTCTGAATAATGATTGTCATCCTCAAGTTTTTTGTGCTCACAGTATAACAAGTCATTAAATAAAAGTAAAGTTCTTGTAAATGTTTTCTACAATACTTATAACAAAGGACTAGAAGCATTATTTAGATGTTATTTTAAATGTGTGAATCTGAATTTCGCTTTAATAATGAACCACTTATGTTATTGCTCATTAATAATTGGAACTTGTTACAAACAGACAGTTTTAATTAATATGTTGAACTTACTATAAATGAGTTTTAAAAATATTATGGCATCTATAGCAGAAGCTATAGTTTTTAGATATCTGTGCCATTTTTTGGAATACACTACATTTGAAATTTAATATTTCAAAACAATAAAATATAAAATAAATGTATTCAAATTTTTATTTAAATATTAATATTTTAATTTCTAAACAATTCAGAATTTTATCCAGTATCTTTATGACAATAATTTATTGATTCTTGGCCTCTAAATCAATATTGGATATCTTTTATTGATCTGTTGTTTTTCATAATGAAAAAACTTTTATTTGAAAATGTTGATAAAATCAAATCAAAAATTTTTTAAAACACTTTTATAATCAATATAAAATTTCTAAAGATTACAAAATAAATAATATAAGTATATATATTTACATTGCTGGCCATTAAAATTGCTACATCAGGAAGGAAAACATAGCAGAATCATGTTTGTTGTAAATGCACAGTATAACGGGAGGAAGAAAGACATGATTAAATTGACAGGTAATCTTGAGGTACAGAGCACCCAGCATGTTGTACCATTTCTCATTTGTTGCTTGCTGCGTTCATGGTATCGAAATTTTAATGACCAGCGTGTACAGTACTGTACATATAAGTATATATATTTACATTGCTGGCCATTAAAATTGCTACATCAGGAAGGAAAGCAAATAGCAGAATCATGTTTGTTGTAAATGCACAGTATAACGGGAAGAAGAAAGACATGATTAAATTGATAGGTAATCTTGAGGTACAGAGCACCCAGCATGTTGTACCATTTCTCATTTGTTGCTTGCTGCCTTCATGGTATAGAAATTTTAATGACCAGCATGTACAGTACATAGATGTATAAAAAATAATTTTATAATTTTTAATAAATTACAAATACGGTCAAATCATTTTAATTCAAACACACGAGGAATCCAAAAATAATTAGAATATTCTAAATTAAAATTAATTAATTTCTAATTATTAAATTTAACCAGAAATAGCATCCTAACTGCCTACCTTTATCCAAATTACTTAATAACTTACCTTAAAATAGCCAAATAAAAGAATCCATCTGTTTGTTTGATATTTAAAGAATAAATTATTGCTTAAGTCATGAAATACATATTTAAATGAAAATTTAGATGAAATAAACATCTGAGTCTGTAAATAACTAAATTATATTTTTGTTTTAAAATGAAAGAGAGCACAATGACAGATTTTCAATTTTACTCCATAAGAACAGCCAATCAGAAATGTCAACTATCCAACTATAAGGTTAAACTCCCTACTTGAATACATTTAATTTAAGCAAATTTATGGCACATTGAACTAGTTTAACTGAACTAATTTTATTCACCTATTGACAAAATGTTTAACTTGACCAATGTAAATGTAGTAGAAGCAGCAAAGTTAGCCAACACAATGTTCAAATATAAGGAACTGAAAATTCTCACATTGTACATGAACATGTTTGTGTAAGGTGAATATATGGTGAGGATTGCTTTATCACCAAATCATTGATTTCCCTTTTTTATTTTATGAAAAAAGCAGTCAATGCAAATGTTTATTTGGATTTGTTGGACTTAAATACATTTTAACTTCTGCTCCAAACTGGATATGTATAAATGATGATTACACACCTTAAAAACTTTAAATTTCAATAAATAATTTTAAGAGACAAATGTTTTTGACCTACTACTAAGATCATCTTCAGGTCTCTTTTAATGTTCCAATTTTAGAATGTAATAAAGAACAATTTAGGAGAAAAATTCTCTTGTACTTTAAATTGATTATTTTAAACTTTAAGCATATTGCAATAATTTTATATACTCTATATGTATATTTAAATTTTGAATTTTTTATCTCCTTTTTGTAACATATCATTATACTTTATTACATTCCAAAATTGAACATTAGAGAGACCTGAAGAGGATCTTAGTTATAAATCAAAAACATTTGTCTATTAAAGTTATTTACTGGGATTTAAGGTTTTTAATATGTGTAATTATTTGTTGCACTTGTTTGCCTTTACACAACTTCAAAAATTGCAACTTTTCAGCATGAAAGTCCAAACCCCAGTGAGAGAGAAACCATCATGTTGAGTTGAATGAAGCTTTCCCAGACAAATGGGGAAAACTTCAAAATGGATAGGAAGAGATGAGCCTTTCCACCTCTGCCCAAGGCATACTCAATCACCAGACATTACACCTCTGGATTTTTTTTCTTTTAAGGTTAGATTAAAAATCATTTCTATATAACACCAACCTCCCAGTTTGTTTTGAAAATCAGAATTGCTGATGCTATCCAAACTACCACTATAGAATGCTCAATAATGTATGGCATGAGATTGTATTTTGGATGCATTGCAAGCAATTAATGGTGCTAATGTAGAGTTGTATTAAAATGTAAAAGTCCTTGTTTTTTTTATTGCTGCAAACTGTATTAATTTTAGGTCAATTAACTTTTCTGTTATATTATTTGAAAATGTCTGCAGGATTTTGTGACCATTCAGTATTTTAATTAATGTTCTGCTATAAGGACATATATTTTAAATCTGTTAGATCAATAAACATTAAAATAATTATTTGGAATCTAATATTATTTTTCATTATTAAAGTATAATTTATTAATTAGTAATTTTTTATGAAAGTTATCACTTCAAAAATTTGAAAAATTAATTAAACAAAGATTTCTTTTAATCACTAAATCATTATACTGTTTGTTGAGAAATAATAATAAGCTTTCAATTGATTTATTATTTATAGAATATAAATTTTAAAAGTTATGATTTTGGCATATAATTATTATATTTAAGTAAAAAAATGTGTTAAGAACAGCAACTGAAATCTAAAAGCAAATGTTATGTTGCTGTTTGTAACAGTAACATAAATAATATTTGCTATTAGATTATTATATATTATTATTGCTATTAGATTATATATTTATTATTTAAAAGATATTTGTTGCTGTTCTTAATAGCAACATAAATATCTTTTTAAATAATAAATGAGATTATATAAACATTTGTTCAAAATGTAAAACATTTACCATGTTATGTCAGTTTATGGTACTATATAGTACAAGAACTTATATATAGATATATGTAAGATATATATGTAGATATATGTAAATAATTTCTCATTTTGTATTTGGTTTTTTTTTCTGAAAATTTTATTGTCATAATTTTACTACAGAAGTTTGTTTTTTAAATGTGTTGCTAACGTTTAATTTTACATGCCATAATTTGAAGTTAATTTTATAAAATAATCTTCTAAGAGTATTTTCTTTTTTAGATCTTGATTTATATAACTTATACTGTACTTGAAAAATCCCAAATTTTCAATAAAGTAGCATTGAGAAACATTTGTCCCTAGAAAATAANATTTGTTTCAAGTAATCATAAACAGTTCAATTTGACAAATTTAATTTCTTAGTGATTTCACATGTTGTTATTCAGCAGTTTGTTTCAGTCAGTACCTTTATTTTGTTTTCATTGGCTTCAACTGGCCATCCAGAACGTGGTGCATCTTCGATATTTAATTTGCCAGAACGAAATTTTGTAAACCAGTTTTGGCACTGTCGTTCTGTCAATACATCTTCTCCATACACATCATGTAATTTTTTTCTCACTTGAACAGCATTCTTACCTTTTCAGTAATAAAAGAGCAAAATATGCCGAAAATGCTGCTTTCAATCTTCCATATTTGATGGGACACAAAAAATAAACAATTGTACGAAATCAAACAAAATTTTTTTACAAAAAAAAAATGCCAGCTGTCGAAATATATAATGATAATACGGTTTAGAACGAAAATGGTGGGAAAAATATGACTAATCCATCCAGTGGTAAAAAAGTGAAATTACTTTCCAAACAACCCAACAACTCGGAGTATTACTGTATATTATTTTCCAGATTTGTTTGTTTAAATAATTTATGTTAATAAAAGTTTATTCTAAATATATGAAACTTTATAAAAGAAAGATGAGAAATAGTAAATCTTGAAATGTTTGTAGTTAAATTTTGCATTACTTCTTTGTTTAATTTATGTTAATTATATTTTTATAGGCTGACAAAAGAGCACATCATAATGCTCTGGAAAGAAAGAGACGAGATCATATCAAAGACAGTTTCAGCAGTTTGAGAGATGCGTTACCAGCACTGCAAGGAGAGAAGGTAAATGCTAAAAAAACTGTACGTACTTTTTTATTTTAAATCTTTATTTTCATTATATTGAACTTGATTGAATTTGCATGAATTACATCTAATTTTGTTTTATTTTAAAATGGTTGTTTAGTGAATAGTGTATTGATTTACTATATAAAACAAATTTGATATGAAATTTAAAATTAAAATGAGTTTTTCCAATTCTGATGATTTTTTTTAACTTGTATTGAAAACTGGAAAAAACAACTCCACATAAAAACACAAAAGCATTAAAGGTGTTAATATATTTATGGATTAAGTGCTCTTTGGGATTTTCAATCCTACTTCTGATCAACAACATTTAGTGTTATGACACATTATGCACAAACAGTTGTTCTATTCAAACTTTTTAATCTAACTGATCAAGATTGCAAATTTGAATATATTATTTGAACAATTAACAGATATTTTTATATTCACAACATTTAAGATGTACAGTGGTGCCTCGTATAACGTACTTAATCTGTTTCAGGTGCACTTCTGTTAAGTGAAAAGTCTGTTATACGAAACGCATTTTTCCATAGAAATACACGTTGAAACATATAATTCATTCCGCAGCATAAAATAACCATACTGTAACATTAAAAAAATGAAAATGAAGCAGTCACCAATTATGCCAGGTAGTCAGATATTGTGAGGAGGAGGTGGAGGAACACTTTCTTCACACATTCATACAGATACAGACTTTTTTCACATTGCAGCAGGTCTCTTTTTATTGTTTTTTAATTGGAGTCAGATTCAGGAGAGGCTACCGGAACTTGCAGGGTCAACTCCTCTTGTTCCATCCTTTGTTTTTTGCCTGCTGGCTTCTTGAAAAACATGTCCAAAGTGGTCTGTTTCTCTCTTCTTCAACACCTGTCGGAAATGACTGGCAAGGGTGTCATTGTAGAGATCATTGATCCTGGTTGCCTCAGCTCTGTTTGGATAATGAGTGTTGGTAAACTCCTGAACCTCTCCCATTTGACAAGGAAGTTGTTGTCAACTTTCACACCTTCTGATGATTTCTTGCATTGTTTCAATTGAAATCACCTTTCTGTTCTTTTAGAAGCCATGATTTGCACAACACTTGAATAAATGTAAATACCCTGCACTGAGGTGATGTACGTAATAAACAAGGGAGCAAGCCTAATCCCAACAGGAGCTCTGTACTTCAGATATACTGATAATATATTCTAATAATACTAATATATTATAAAAATAGCAGATTGTCATTGGCAACAGCAAAAGAG